CCTGCGCGGTAGGAGTAGCGGGCGGAGCTACAAGGGGTGGAGGTATATTGTGAGTGGCTAGTGTGGCGCCATTGGCTCCGTCACGAGCAAGGTCTCGGCATTGGTGCGGGTGCGACCCCACCTTTCCCCTTGCCTAGACACTCTGTCACTTTGGTGCCTCGCCTTTATTCTTGGGTTCCAAGGCACCAGGAGCAACAGATCGGAGCACTTGCCTTTAATGTCAACCTGTATATTCCAAAGACCGAAATGGAGCCGACCATCGGCACTGGGCCTGCCTGCAGGAACATGGCGACGACCAATCACGACCGGGAATTGATCGGTCTTTTCGGCACCATGGATATATTTCCCTCTTTCTGCACAGTGCAGTACTGTTGACCTTGGGGCCCGATTGGTCGTGAACCCATGTGTGACACTAGCACCTGGAGGTCCTCCTGATCCTTGCAGTCATGTACCCACCATTGGATGGTGCTTTCTCTAGCATTCGAGTGTTCTAATTCTCTTTTTATTTCCCTCCCCACTCTCCTGAGCTCCAAGCTCTTTTTCTACTGTGGTGGGGGCTCGCTGGTACAGGCAGACAACGTGCCCAACGGTTGCCTAGGGAATAATAAATAGCGTCCTATTTCCACAACTTGACTTTTATCTCGTACACTTGACCTCTGCCTTCCATTAAAATTTTTCGCTTCTTTTTGCTTGCACTGGTTCTTACTGTGGCAGTTACTCCTATTGGGATGCACCTTTTTTGAGGGAGGGTATCAGTTTGCTTTATCAACCCACAGACGCACCCTTTCTCTGCCATTTGTTCTGTATTTGACAGCCGATACCTGTTGTTCGGCTGGTATCGCTTGTAAAGCCTCCCAGCAGCTATGAAAGCCGTGTTTATTTGCACTTTGGTGGGGATCTTGTTCGCCTCTGGGCCACTCGTTGTGACTGCCGCTGATGCGAACCAGGGCGCTGCAGGGTCTCCAGTGAATTGGGAAAATGATTTTGCAGGTTACTACGGCAGCTTTTTTGTCGATACCGATGACGAAAGTACCAATAGTGTTGTGACGACTCCTGCAAGGCCTCGTCAAAACTCCGTGCACCGTAAGCCTCAACTGGCGTCTGATATTGAAGAACCATCAGCTGGCAAGGATGACGAAAACGGCAATGTTACCAACCTAAACCAGCTTATGCCACCAACCACCCAGCAGCCGTATGTGGAAGCTCATGACAAGCAACCGTCGTTTTACCGTGAATCCGCCCCAGCTGTCATGAATGGGTTCTCTGTGAACACCAAACCTCCAGTGCAGGGACTTGCAACTGGTGACGCTAGCGGAGGCGTGTTGCCAACAATGGGCACGGACTCGACTCCCCTGGGATATGCCGTCGCCAGCGACTCCCCCACTTCAGGTCGAAGAAAAACGTGGCTCAGCTCGGTCAAGAACAAGGCCAAACATGCCTTTGGCCTCACCGCGAAGCAAAGTGTATACCGCGTGCTCAACGTGGCTGCTGTTCGCGCGCTACGCAACAAGCCTCCCTCGTACGATGCAACAATGTTTTTTCCCAACAATGAAATTCTCTATGGGGTGAACGTCCTTCCAGACCAAGCTAGCACTGCACGCCGCCCTTATTTTAGCGACATGTACTTTCAGTTCATTCCTTATGCTACCCAAGACGAAGCCAACAAGGCCATCGGTAATCACCAGGCCTGGGGCTTTTTCACCCTGTCCAAAGACGGCAGCGGTAGTGATACCGATCAGCTATGGCTCAACGCCTTTGTCAGCCAACGCGCAATGTCTTTTAGCATGGCCAACACGATCCTGGGCAACGATGTACGGAAAGATACGTGGGTCGGAAAATCGTATTTCCTGTAGTTTCGTACGATAGGGACCAATCGATATTTTATTCTTTCATGTAACTAGGTTTACTTGAGTGATGGGCGCAGTCATACTATATCATTTTTTTTCGTCCTTTCATCCCCTGGCTGGCGAATACAAAACTTGAAGCCGCAGTGAGATGTTATATTGCGGTATGAAATCATCTAGCATCGGGTAATGATGGTTGAATAAAGCGCACTGATCAGAAGAAGCACATGATGACGATAATGATTGTCTAATTCTTGGATTAAAGGTGGTTGCGAGCGCATACAAAAGCTGCGTCAAGGCTTTGGTTTATGGACCGCCATATACAGCAACTAGTGCCACAAATAGTGAGCGGTAAAAAAGGGCGAAGTAGAAACTACGCCCAGAAGCAAAGCAAAAGTAAAAGAAGAGGGGGGAATGAATAGAAAAAGCGAAAGAGATATCGTCCCAGTATTGCGGTAAAGAAGGTAGTGGTATGAATTGCGTGACAGAGGTAGGTTTCGTTACGCAGGCGGCAGTTGAGCCTGGTGCCGAATCTTTTGAATCAGGGTGCGGCACATAAACTGGTCGTGGGCCAAGGATCGCACCGACTTAAGGTACAGGACCAAGTCAATCTTTCCAAGGCTGAGCGCCTTACCCAAATAGTAAATGGTGTCCTCGATGGCGTTGTCGTCTGCTACCAAGTTGAACAGCTGTTCGTAGGCTGGCTGTTTGCCGCGAAATATGGTAGTGGGGTCGGGTGGAGGCAGCTTCTTAATAATCGCCTCTTGACGCTGCAGTTCTTGATGCTTGGATTCAAGCACACCAATATTGTTTTCAATTTTACGCTAAGCACCGCCCCAAAAAAAGTTTAACAAGCGAGTAGTGGGTTTCATACCATGTTTGTGATTAGCGTGCACATCAGGGTATAGGGCAATGTACTCAATGTACTTGAGCAGTCGACATTTCTAGCTCCTCTACTTCAGAAAAGCTGCTTCTTTTTTTGGTTATTTAACGCCCAATGGCGATCAAGGTGTGATAGTGTGGAGCCCACACCGGTACACTTACCTGCATGCTCAGCAGCTGACGCTTTTCCTTTTCCACAAGCTCCTCACCGTGGTTCAAATGCTGGTTGATGGCCAGAAGGTGGGTGGTCTTGTGCTTCATTGCCTTGTTGAATGAATCCAACCGCTCGGTCAGCTTGTCGTACACTGCGACCTGAAATCCCACCAACTTTTGCGCAGGAGATGCTGTGTCGTCATCAATCAAGCTAAGTTGGGTCCGTAGCGTTGCCAAATCGATGTGGTCGTGCGATTCATTGCCTGGTTGGGGTACAGGGGGCAGAGGCAGGTTGGGGGGTTGGGACTGCGGGGTAGATGTGTCCGTAGTTAGGGATGACTGTGATGGCATGGTCGCATGGCCCCCGTTCGGCAGAGGCAGCGGCTTTGAAGTACTGGCAGGGGCTGCCGCGGGCTCATGGCCATGGTTGCTGGTGCTCATTGGGTAAAACGAGCCACTGGGGTTGGGTATATCGGCCAGGCCAAGCGTAGCGGTCGATGCATTCCCCACAGAGTCTGGCCATGGGTAGGGTGCGCTATGGTGGGGCTCAAACGATTGGGTGGCTTCAAGGCTTGGTGGTGGGGAAGCCATAGGTCTATGAGTGGCGTTATTCATCCGCCCAGGGTCCGACATTGTGTGTTGGATATCGCTGGGAGCGCCTTGCACAGGCATCGTTTGATGAAGTGGCCTAGGATCAGATGCAGGCGGCGGCCTTGGAGCATCGGTAGGTAAGAGCTGGTGGTGGTGGTGTGCTTGGTTCTGGCTGGCAGTTTTCATACCCACTGGCGATTCATTTCCAAAGGCAACTTGAAGCGCCCGGAGCAGCTCTACTAGTGACTGGGCCGCAGCTGGTTGCGTGGCCCACTGGGAAAGGTATGGGTGGTGAACCTGACCGGCGCTGTTGACGCATTTACCAGGAATAACGACCATGTTAGCGGTGGGTTCCACACGCACCAAGGGCGGGCACTCGGGGTAACGGATGGGGAACCAGAGCGCCACCGGGATGTGGTACGTTTGGCCGCGGTAGCTGACCGGTAGCGTGCCATAGGCGCAGAGCATCGGTTCCCGCTGACCTGAAACATGGCTGTAGTAGTCGTACTTGGGCCGGAGCGTCGGAAACGCCTGAAGCAACTCTTGGACATGCGCAGTCACTTTGGGCGAGTCATGATGCCCCTTGGTGACCATGGTCAGCCATGCGTGTAGCGCCTGGTTATGCGATGCCATTGCGCTCTGCTCCGCCAACGGCCGGTGCCAATGCGCTGGCGGTGGAAATCACGCAGAGAATGGCAAGGAGCAATCGAACGACACGAGAGAGTAAGGGAGGGGGGAATGAAGAGGGAATCGAGCTAGTAAGTAAAGGTGCCAACGCACTCGAGTGCCCGTCGAGTAGGTACAATAGCACCAGACAGATGTGAGGCCAAGTGCTGACAAAAAAACAGCTCAATAGGCACGGAGAGCAAGAACGGGTCTGTGCCTGCACCAACGCTAGTGCATTCGATGAACTCGGACAATGCAAAAGAGATTTGCAACTAGTTACATACACAAAAAACTATAGTTACTAGAATGCTGTCTTAACGATTCCCAGCGGAGCTCATCCTGGGCGAAGTGACACACGGCAGGTGGCACTTGCCTGGTAACCTCCTGACTAGCGAGGACCAGGGCCAGCGGCTAGCACCAAATGGGCCGCAGCGCCAAGAAACCAGGCCTGGGCAAATCTAGAGCTCACTTTGGCACTGACCAGCCTTTGCGGTTTAGGGCCGTGCCGTGCTTGAATGCCATCCCGCGGTATTAGTAGTGGTGTGTGTAGTTGGCACCAACAAGAGTCATTGGCAGGCCAAGGAAGCCATGGCCTTGGCACTTGCACTCGTCAAGGACGACTTGCCGCTTGGTGATTGGAACTATTGGCCAGGGTATCACAACCCTAGTTCCACCATGGATGCCCAGCCCTGGACAAAAATAGCGTGCAAACAAACACCACCCGATGCAACACGATGCCAAACCGTTGGCTAACTATTAATCGTGAGGTGGAAAAGAGTCCATCAGCAAGAATGTAGGTACAAAATACATTACGACATTGTTATTATTTTGGTCCTAGTGTGTATTTATTATAGAATTCTAGTCCCGAGAATAGCTCAGTTGGTAGAGCGGGAGACTGTAGTGTTCATGATATCTCTAGGTCCCTGGTTCAAATCCGGGTTCTCGGATTTTTTTTTGGTCAATTTATGTCGTGGGGTTCTCCTCCGGCTTAATTAAACGTCCCGCACCTCGAAGATAGGGCAGGTAACCGAAGGGGTTTGTTGGGTTGACTCCCAGGAACGTCGGGGAGGAATCTTTTAGAAAAAAATAAAATAGACTAGTGTCGCAGGGCCGGTGGGTTGGCCTAAGAAATTAATAAAGAAAAGAAAAGTAATCAGTACAGGAACACAAGCGTCCACCGTTTTGCCTGCCGGGGCCGTTGCTTCACACCTAGAAACGAATAAACAAATATCACAAGAGAACACACACTAATCACCTTGAAAACACCTCACTTCGCCACGCACACAAACTCCACTTGTCCGCACTCTTGATCACAATTTTTATCACACACGCTCACTCGCTCACACACACACTTTTGCACTCTCTCTTTTGCACTCTTCTTCTAAGGGTGCGCGGTGACTGCGCATATAAATAGGATGGAACTACAGCTGG